GCACATGGTCGGGTGGGCAACGGCAACTTGGCAGCGCCAGCAGCACCAGCAGCACCAGCAGCAGCAGCAGCAGCAGCACCAGCAGCAGCGGCAGCAGCACCTCACCAGGAAGTCAGACCATGCGTCCACGGCCCGCACGCTAGCGCGGTTGTTCCGCAGGTTCTGAAGACAAACGACAGCGCCGTGAGGCAGAAGTCAGCAGCAAAAAACAAACAAGGCACCCAGAACGGTAAGAGCCAGTGTGTGTCTGTGCGCGCGTGCCTGAGGCCCGCGGGTAAGGTGGCGTAAGCTGGTGGCGTAAGCAGAATGATACGACATAGCAAATCATGACACGTTTAAGACATGGCTCATGTCATTATATAGTCATGCCCCAGGCCTGGTGCAAGGCATTACTCTCTTGCGTCATAGGCATGCAGAGATGACTTCTCCTGGCAGGTTGCGCTTCCCTGTCTCCCCACACCCACGTCGATTTTTCACGCAGGGCCCGCGGTCCAAAGGCAGCCTGTTTTCTGCTCTACGCATATTTCTGGTTGTGACACTTGTGCTTTTTAGATGCTGTCTCGACATGGAGGCAGGCGCCAGTTGCGAACATGTTGTCCGTGTGGCCAACGAGACGGCGTGGTGTTTTGCAGTGCCTATCTACTGATGGGCTTTAACCGCAACTTGACAGAGTTGCAGGTTGCGCTTTCCTGTCGCCCCGCACCCATGTCAGCTTTTCTTTCACGCAGGACAAGAGCTCAAAGGCAGCCTGTTTCCTGCTCCACAGATCTGGCTACGAGTCCGACGCGACCATGTCGCCGAGACTTAATGCCCGCCAGAAGGCCACCATGTTCATCCTACATCGTTCCCCCAGGCAATGCCCAGCGCTTGAACAGGAGGAAACAAGTTGCCTTTTGCTGTTGCTTGTGTTTTCCCCACACTCGCACATAGCTGCCTAATAGCTGCCCAACTGTGGGCCCTGTCAAAGGTGACGTCACACACTCTCTGCCTGAAATCCATTTTTCGGAATGGAGAACCACGGGCCAGAAACAGTAGTTTGGGCGCAGAAGAGCGACGTATTTTCCGAACAAGTTGTTGGACAGACGCTTGCCTGCCATCATCGTCATCATCGTCATCACTGCTGCAGGCCATTGCCATTGCCAGGTCTATGGGCCAAAACGCAGTTTGGGCCCACATTTTTGTGAAAACGGACCAATTAGAGAATAGCTTGCTACTAGAAGGTTATCCTCAGTGAAGCTCTCATTCACTAGCAGCAAGCTATTAGCAAGTTCGCAGCAAGCAAGTAGAGGCCGGCGGGTTCGTCTACAAACCACAAGGTGGGGGGTCACCCCTGGAGGCGGGGCGCCCCAACAACTTGTGTGATGCGAACCGCTGAAGGTGTTTCCGTTGTTGGGGTTCCGCTCTTCCAGAAAAATCCCCTGATCAAGAACTGGAAGGTGTGTCAGATGCTCCACGCCTCAAGGTGTTTGCCACCCTCTCTGCCAAGGCACTGCAGCCGTGGGACTTCAAAGGAAGTGGCGTACGTGTTGCGATGCGCCATGGGGGCTTGTTCATTGATGAAAAGATGAACGTGCCACCTTCGTGGCCAGCTAGACAGCGGTGTTGTTCTGCAGTGCCGGGTTTAACCGCCACTTGACAAAGTCGCAGGTTGCGTTTGCAAACTTTGGTGTAGGACCTAAACTCAAAGAAGCAACACGGGGGTCCTTACATTTTGTGTGGACTAACGTCACACTAACATCAATCATAACTTGAATTAATCTTCCAAGCAAAGTCCGTGGCAAGACTTGCGGCGGTTTTGCGCTAGTTGCAGGGCTCGAGCACAGCAGCCTCTGCACAGCCTAAGACCAGCTTGCTAAAGGAGTACAAGGTTTAAACCCTAGCTGCCGATAGGGTTTAGCCGCTCCCATGATGCTGACTAAAGGAAGTGGTCATTCGCAGTGCAGCGAGTCCCAGTGCTGCTTTCTTGGATGCGCCTTGATGCGGGATGTGCACGTTTGCGTCTCTTGAAGTCTAAGAGTTGTGATCAGTCGCAGGTAGAATAATTTGAAGAGCCATGCCGCTGCCCGTATTCCAGCCTGCAGCTTTAAGTCAGAGGAATGCCAGTGCGTTTGATGCCCAGAAAGCTCTTGGCTTAGCTGCCCGCGCCTCTAATTTGAGTGCGGCAAGGGGTTCTTCGCCCAGGCCAGTTGCTTGCCCAGCGCAGCTGGATCATGCTTGAACCATGAGGCAGCTTTGTTTGACGCGAACTTTGCCAATTGGAATTGCTCGTGTGGCATTTAGCAGGCTCGGAATCGGCGTCGCATCATGTGCCACCTGCTCAGCCTTTTTCCGGCCCCCGTACAGCAAAACCGGAGCCAAGAGCGCAGCCTTTGTTTTGCTCGGCACAGCAAGCTTCGCTTTGCCAGACCTGCCTTGAAGATTGGACTCTTCTGAGACCCTTGGCATCTCACATGTAGCTCCTGCGGAGATCAGCCCGCAGCTCGCCGAGTTGCTTTGAGGATCGCAAAGCCCCACGCAGATGCTTAAAGGTTTGTTGAAAGCAACGAATCATGAGTCCAGCATAATTCCCAGGGAAAGGCTGACAACTGAAGGCTCCAGTCCTCGCAACAGATGTGGCGCTCACCGTGGTTGGGGTCTCCAGTCCTTGTCTCCAGCCAGTCCTCGTAGTCCTTGATGGCGGGAGGCAACGGGGCGAGGCGCATGCAGAAAAAACATGCGCCTTGTGTGCCCCCTTCTTTGTCTTGATTATAGCGCAAGCGCTGCATAAGTATGAAAAACCATTGTATAAGAAACTAAGGGGCTGAGATTTGCTAAGCTGGTAAAATTGAGCAGAATTTCTCTCAGAAGGTTTCGGGAAGGGGATCTTCGACAAAGTTTTTCGCGAGTTGGGCAAAAGCTGCGCGTGATTTCAGGAATGGATTCGGAACTTCGACTGGTTCTGCGGAACCGTTGTGATACCTGTTGAGTTTGCGCTACCGCTTCGAGGAACCCTTCGAAGATCATGGCGGAGCCCTTCCAAGAACCCTTTTCTTTTCGACAAGGTCGGCGGTATAGCTGTCCAGACAGCCCACCCCTCCCATTTCTGTCTCATTCTCGACCACTATGAAGTCGAGCCCTGAATTTCTGAGCGGGGAAGGGTGCAAGCGAGGAGGCCACCAAGAAATTTGACCCCCCTCGCTCCGGAGCATTGCCCGCAAGCCCCGTTCCACACAGACACACAGACACACATAATGGAGCCTCGACCAACCGATTTCTTACACAGCGCTCGGGCTGTAGTTGCGTGGAACCGATGGCAGAAATTCAAGGCACGCAAGGTGAACGGCCAGGCCTGGCACGGCTTCTCTCCATGACGCATCAAGGCCCGGCCCAGACACACGCAGTGGGGTGATCTGCTTTGACACGAGCCTTGCCAAACCCATCCAGTCCAACCAATTCGCTTTGACGCAGTGTGCCACACCGACGTTTCGGTGAATAAGATTAGCTCCGCAACTATTATCGAGAAAGGTGCTCAGCTGACATTGACCCTTTTTCAAGCCAGGCCTGAAGATTCTCAGGCAAATGAAAGGAGCTTCTGCATGTGACAAAGGTAGCAGTGCTGCGAGAAGTGCCAGGCGTTGGCCTTGCGCAATGCTTGCAAGAGTTCCGACCCCGGAATGCGCTTGGCAGACAAATCAGGAAAAGGGTAGGACCTCAAAGAAGGCCAGTCCTGAATGGGGACAGCTCTCGTGACCAGATGGATGACTCAGCTTGTTAACGGCCTCATAGCTCCCGGCGATGTGGACACCCGTGCTTGCGTGGCCTTGGCGGAGCAGCGAACGCGCTTGTGGCAGATCGGGTCGCCCGTGGCTCGGTGCGTGGTGGCCTGCGCAGATGCAGCGCTAAGCGGCGCTGGATGTACGCGTCTGGCCAGGCCAGGCAGACCTCAGAGTCGAGTCTTGCCTTTCATGACGAGACAGATTGCGCTGCATCGCCAGATCTCAAGCGGTGCTGCAAGCCTGATAGTTTGGCCAGGATTTGTGAGAAGGGAGCTTCCACCACCCTGTCTCACCGCTGACGGGGGCAGTGTCGCCACAGTCTACTGGCAGGCGTCCGCCCGGGACTCGGTTTTGATGCGGGCGCGCTGGGACCTGGCACCCTGCATCAAGGCTGCGCTCGCCATCTCTACCATTCTGCGCAGATCGTCAAAATGGCTCTCGGAAAGTCGCGTGTCCATGTTCTTTGGTTGGCAATGACATACTGGTTGCTTTGTCTTAGATTGCCAGGTGTGGGCACAAGTTGGAGTTTGTGAAGTCCGGGAAAGATGTTGGTTTGATTGCGTGTTCCGGCTCAGAAAGGGCCACTCGGTGTCGCTGGATTAAGACCTGGTCAAAAGATGGGGTTGAGCTGGGTGATTGGGGAAACCAACCTGATTTTTTGAGGATCTTTTGAAACAGGTTTTCTGTTTGATGACTGCGGATTAGTGCTAAAAGCGGTTGGGGGTGGAATGCCCTTTTAGTGGGGAATTAATTCATCCGAGCTGGCATTACTGCTTCTATATTCCCGCCCTTTCGGGAGACTCGTTTGGGTCTTCTATGTTGGACCCGAATGTTTTTGCCAGAGTTCCTAAGCCAATCGAAAAGGGCTTTCGTCCGGTGCCGTGAAAATGGGACACATAGGCGTTGTTCGAACACAGCTGGCATTTTTTGCGTGCTCATCCAACTCATGTGAACAACCATGGCAACCATGGTCCTACAAGTCAACAACTGTAGCTAGTGCAACGGTCGTTTTGTTTTGCTGCCAGACGTTGTGCATTCACATGATTGGACCATGGGTTTTGGATGTGTGTTCTGATGGTGTCTGCGCGAGCATTCACATAATTGGACCATGGGTTGTGCAGGTGTGTTCTGATGGTGTCTGCGCTGCGAGTGCTTGTTTCGCAAGCCGTTTTGGCTTTGGCACAAATTCAGCTCGTATTTGAGATCAGTCTTGTATTCCAGACGCTTCCACAATGGTTCATCCCACAAGAGAATCAGCTGTCACATCCGCCCGATCTCTTCATGGCCTCAGGCACGAACGCTGAAGGTTTGTGTTTCCAGCACGTCAGGATACATGTCAATGTGCCCAGCAAATGGCTGAAGAAACACGAGAATCTCATCCATGGGGGTTGTTTTCCGGGAGCGCATTCTGGGTGATAACACAGCTGCTGCATTCCTGACATGAAGCAAAGAGGTGGGTCATCTGTTTTTGTTTGGTTTTCTTGTAACAAACAAATCAAACACCACGCAGCTCTTCTGATTGCTGGGTTTATGGACAAAAACACTTGCCAGCTTCAAGTCTCAGTACATTTTGGGAAGTTTCCCGCCCAGAATTTCCTTGCGGCTGCTGCCTTTGTGCGATTGGGAAACAAGGGGCGGCGTCGAACCAATTCGTTGTTCGGGTCTGCCAAGTGCACGCTGGAGAGAGAGTTCTCCAATAAATCCCATGCAGACGACTACTTGGTAGCCCTAAAGGGTTTTTAGTTTTGGATTTGCCTGGAAGCATGGCAGTGGCCAATCGAGTCAATTCTCTGATGCCAAATGAGGAGGAACGTGCGAGCGCTATCTTGATAGTCCACATTGTGCAGTCTGGAGTTAGTTAAGTTGAAAAGGAGCTTGATTTGCATGTTAGTTAGCCATGTTGCAAGTTAGTCACTTAAGCTGTTAGTTAAGTTAGCCATAATCCTTTGCCATGTTGCACAGCGCTTGATCAATGATGGCAAAGGAGACAAGCTTCCATTTTTTCCGCTTGCTCCCATCGGAAGCGGACTGGGTGCAAAGCTGTGCTCGTATATACAGCAGTTTCCAGCCAGCTGGATCCGCTCAGCATGAACCAACCCAGCACCTAGCGCAGGCAGACTATGAAGCCACCTTATGCCAAGTGAAGCCACCCCCTTCTCTGAACCAATTCGGAAGCAAAACCCTAGGGCCATGCTGAGCGAAACCCACCGGGCCGTCCAACGCCAACCCGAAAACCCATCTCAACTCTTCCCGAAAAACCCGCAAGGACCAAACCCAACCCAAAGCCAGACCATGCACCATGCGCGAGGCATGATCCTTCGGGACCCGGAGCCGTGTGAGGCCAACGGCCTCATCGCAGCTTGGGTCAAAACCAACGGTCCCATATTTGGGGTAGGTGCACCACCCAAATTTTGGTCTATTTGGGTGGGGATTGGGATGTTCGCTAGGCGTACGGGATTTTGACCCATGGCCAGATATTACTTGAATAACAGTATGCAGCAATATTAGCATTCATTGAAGTCTTTCTGCACCTCGGCACTCGGGAACTGCCACCCCATGCGCTCAGGGAATCTGATTTATTTTGTTCAGCCCCGGAGTGACGAATTGCGGAAACCAAAAATACACTTTTCTGCTCCAGACCCCGTGCTCCGATTCGGGCAATGCAGTTTTCTTTGGGGCAAGGAAGGTTTGAAGGTACCTGGGGCCGCAGTGGCCAACTTCAAGCAGGTGACGCCCAAGAGAAGGGCGAAGAGGCGGAAGGAGTCGCTGGCCTTCAGCTCAGAGAAGAGTTTGGAGGGCATCTACTTGGCGGGTGCCACGGGCGTGCGGAACGGCGAGCAGGAATGCCTTCGACAGCTAGAGACGCTTTGTCGGATCGTTGGCCAGTTTTTTTCTTCTTTTTTTTCTAAGCCCCGAAGGCCTTGGATAAGTTCTTGCAATCCTTGTTTTTTCCTCTGGCCCACCCCGCGCGATCGAAGAAGTTCGTGCAATGCCCTTGTTTGGGTGTGGCTCAAAATTAAACAGGGGTGGTTACGCAGGCACAGCCGTTGGGCTGCCTCATTGGGTGTCTCCCAGGCTGGACGCCAAGACCCTGCGCTTTGATTCCGAGCCGCAGCTCGAGGCCTTGCGGCGCCTGGTCTCGCTGGCGCGCGCCGCGGCAGAGGCCAACCAGGAGCCTCTGGCGGAGATCATTAAGGCCCAGAAGGCCGGGAAGAAGTGGCTTCTTCCCAGATGAGTTTCTTAGGCAACCATGAAACAGATGCTATTGAGAACCCTTAAGGGAAACAGCATTGACAATCATCAACGAGGATGGATTTATGGTGGGGGCTATCCAACATTATGACATTAGTAGGGGTGAAGCTTAAGCTACCAGGCAGAGCGGGGTGATAAAATTGTCCTTGGTTCCAGTTACCCTGGATGATCTGTTGGGTTCCTATTTTATCACAGGCAGCTGAAAGCTGGAGAGGGGGTGTGACAAAGTTTTGGCAGAGTGCTGTAGCAGGGTGCTGTAGCAAGGCGCTGCAGGGTTCCGTCGCAGCGTTCTTGCTTTGTTGACACCCAGTTGCTATTCTTGGTTATTCGGGCTCTGTGCAGATGATCTTTTTGGAGCCCTTCCTTTGGTTTTGAAGGAAACCGGTTGGGAGCAAACCATGATTTTGAGACGAACTTAGATTGAGACTTGCGCGTTGGGACAATCTATTCACAAGAATGAGGCGCGGCGTTGGCGGTGTTTGGACTTGTACGGAGGGCCTGAACATGAGCTCTCAAAGTTTGGAAGAGTCGACGCAAGATGTGCGCACATGTTCTGCCAAATGGATGCCACTTTTGCACGCATTTGCCTTTGGTGGCTTGATGGTTTGTCAGGTAGAAGAAATCTTTCGAGCCAGGCAGGGACAGCGGAAGGCACAACATGTGGAAAGAACAGAAGTGCCCATGCTGCTTTTCTTGGCATGCTCCTAAAGATTACATCCAAAGTGCGATTGCTCAAGCATGGCCAGTTTGGCACCTTCAGGGCTGTGGGAAATGACCACTTCCGTGATACACCAAAATGGGCTTCCCAAAGACTAATTCACCATATAAGCCGGAAAATTCCCTTGTATCACAGAAGTGGTTGGATAAACCCTTTGATCCCACGACCCTGCTCACCTTGGTTTGTGCTTAGGCTGAGAAAAGGAGAGGCTTGTGAGCACAGCCTGGCAGTGCAAGGCTTGAACTCCTTGGTGGCCTAGGCCTCAGGTCGATCGCTCTTTTTTTCCCCCGGGCGAGGGAGAAGTTCCTTCCGAAAAAAAGAGGAGAGAAACAAACGGTGGGCGTTTTTTTTTTCCTTTTCTCTTTTTTTTTCTTCCCCCGGGCGAGAGAGACGTTCCTTCCCGACAAAACCGGCGCGCGAGAGAGGCGCGGGTTTGGTGGCTGAGGCGTTCAAGGGCATGTTCCCTTGGGCCGAGAAGTTCACGAGAGCGCTGCAGCATTTTGAGTCCCTGGCCCGGAAGGATGGCTTTGAGGCCGCGGAAGCTGAGATGGCTGTCAAAATATGTACCCAAAATGGCTTGCCCAGGTAAATGGAAGATGCGGATTGCGCACAGCCACATTTGGGGTACCCACAGCCACATATGCCAGGGATTGGACCGCAGGTTTTAGTCATGGGTTCCATTTACCAGGGCAAGCCATTTTGGGGTACCCATTTTTGACCCACAGCCACATGTGGACGTGTGGGAGTTTCCAGAAACGGAGGTGGGGCCTTTGGCCACCTTGTCCGGGATGTTCGATTTCTAGGTCACGCAGTCTGGCAGGCGGTGAAGGGCCTGTTGCCCTTCATTCACGCTCAATGCGACCTTCGGAAGGAGGAGGGGGATGCGCTTGGCGTCTGCTTTGGGGCTTTGGATGCAAGTCTAAACACGATTACCGCACGTGATTCTAGGAGTTGACTCCCCATTCTTTTCAACCATTGTTCTTTTTCAAAAGTCGGATCAGTTTCCACCCTGGGCTTTTGCTGGTTTCCTGAAAAGATCCGGATCCCTGGGTTAAGAATGGAAAGAAGGGTACCCCTAGAGTGATTGTCCCTCAACTCACAAGAACTGCTCAGGTGTCGCATGGCTGAGTTGCCGAGTTGCAGCTTGCCCATGATACCAGGTCCAAGATTGCCAAAAGCTCATTGAGTCGGATGCACCGAATCACCAGACAGTGGCTGCAAAGGAAAAGCTGAAAGAACTTGAGCAAGGCCAGCTTTTCGCGATTGGTGTTTCTTGTGGGGTTGGATTCACATTCATGCCCTGCTTTTCACTAAGCACTTACTGCTACTTGCTGCCCTTTGTTCGCTGCTGTGTCTGTTGGTTGCTTCGTTTGTTTGTTTGTTCATTTGTTTGTTTGTTTGTTCGCTCGCTCGCTTGCTTGCTTGCTTGCTTGCTTGCTTGCTGGTGTGTGTGTGTGTGTTCCTTTCTTGTTTGTCTGCCGTCGGTCTGTTTGTCTGCCAGCCAGTCAGTTGCTTGCCTGTCAGTGTGTACGAGCAATCCAGGACTTAGGCTGGGCATTGCCTTCGCTCCTTCACTGGGGATGCTTGATCGCGGTGTTTTGCAGTCTTGCTTGTTGATTTGTTCGCTTTCCTTGCTGCTGCGTCTGCTGGTCAGCGCGAGTCACACTGTGGCGTGAACAGTTTTGACACTGGTGCTTTAGTGATATTATCTCACATGGTTACATCATGCATTGAGTTTTGGCCGGCCCTACCTTCATTGGCTTGGCTGACTGATCGATGGATGGATGGGATGGATGGACGGATAGATGAACTGACTGATTGACTGCTTGACTGCCTGACTGACTGAGCCGGCTGGCTGGTTGAGGACTGATGGACGGACAGACTGACTAACTGACCGACTTGATTTTGCTTCTGATTTTGGTTTTTAACTTGTTTTTTGTTTGATTTGATTTGATCGTCTTGATTGTTTGTTGGTAGGTTTGATGAATTGTTTGATTGGTGGGTTGGCTGGTGGCTTGTTTGGTTGGTCGGTTGTTTGATTTGATTTGAGTTGACTTGATTTGATATGATTTGGTTTGGTTTGATTTGTTTTGATTGGATTTGATGGATTGACTGATTGACTGATTGATTGATTGATTGATTGATTGATTGATTGACTGACTGACTGACTGACTGACGGATTGATTGATTGATTGATTGATTGATTGATTGATTGATTGATTGATTGATTGACTGACTGACTGACTGACTGACTGACTGACTGACTGACTGACCGACTGACTGACTGATTGACTGACTGACTGACTGATTGAGGAATTGATTGATGGATTGATGGATTGAGTGAGTGAGTGAGTGAGTGAGTGAGTGAGTGAGTGAGTGAGTGAGTGAGTGAGTGAGTGCGTGACGACTGATTGATTGATTGATTGATTGATTGATTGATTGATTGATTGATTGATTGATTGATTGATTGATTGATTGATTGATTGATTGATTGATTGATTGGATGTATGGGCGGATGGACGGATGGACGGATGGATGGATGGATGGATGGATTGATTGTTTGCTTGCTTGGCTGGCTGGTTTGTTGGTTGGTTGGTTGGATTTGTTTTTATTTGTTTGTTTAGATTTGCATTGGATTGGAATTGATTGGATTGGATTGGATTGATTAGGGGGTTCGCATTGGAGTTTTGTTGGCCAGACTTTTGATGGTGTTGGTGTGAGTGTGGGTGTTTGAGTGGTGCTTGCGTGGGAGTGTGTATGGGGTTGTGTGTGTGTGTGCTTCTGTGGTTCAAGCACACATGAAGTGTAGGTGTGATAGATGGTTTGAGCCTCGTCTTGGCACGCTCTTGAAACCGCCCCAAGCCCAGTCCAAGCCCAGTCCAAGCCCATCCCGAAGCAACCCTAAAGCCTCACATCCACCCTCCCAGCTGGCAGCCTGCATAGCCTCGGCATTTCAAAAGCATGCAAACGACCTTGTTGTATTTTTCGATCGGTTAGTCAGATGTTTTCCATTACAGTCTTGGACATTGCATTGGCAATTCCTGGTGGACATGATACTGGCTCGGAGCATTTGTACTCTAAGGATTTGGAAGGATCTCTCACACACCTGCGCGCACTTTGTTCACACTTTGCGCACGCTCTCGCACAATTGCACATATCACGCAGCACCAGGGGCCGTCAGCATCACCAGCATCGTTTTGGGGCGCCCAGCGTCAAGAAAAAAAGAAAGCACCTGGCATCGCCATCGTTGCGACTGTCAGTTCCGGGTGATGCTGGCGATGCTGGAATTCTTTTCCTGACCTTTTTGCGGCGCCCGGTCAAGAAAAAGGGGCCACCAACGCAACGGTCAGCATGTAGCTGCTGTGATGTCCCAGAATTTGACCGCCTATGATGTAGACTTGATGGATGGAGCCACCAATCCAAACCAAGAATTGAGGTGAGGTGAGGGTATGTCAAAGTGGTGTTTTGATCCGTTTACAACAGAACACTGCTCAAATTAACTTGGTGTGTGGCTGGGCTATGATGGACAGTTGCTCGTGTTGACATGGCCCCTCCTCTCAGAAGAACGTGGTTGGCGGATTTGTCATTCCTCAGGGTATGTAGGTGGAAGTTACTCTACTCAAAACGGTAGGTGGTTTTTAAACCAATCTCGAGCTAGCTTTCTCACCTTTTGGCAGGCGGTTCTGGACTTGATTTGGACTTCTTCCTCAAGAACAACCTTTTGGGGCATTTGGTGGATGCGGCTCGAGTGCGTAAAGGTGGTCTTCCTGCTCGTAAGGACTTCGGCCCTCGACTTGGCGCAGGGACGAGTTCATGCATGTACTAGATGTACTGCATGCACTGCATTATGTATAGCCATGAGCTTGATGCATATGGGAGTTGCAGTGCCCATCATTTGCGCAAGCTGCATTGAATCTTGTTGGGGGATATTGGGGGCCTGAATTGAAAGGACTCATGGAGTGTGCTAGTGAGGTTGTTTGTTCGGTTTCTCAAAGCAGGAACTTCTTGTCAGGGTTTGGTAGCACCATCGTGGTCAACTCCGAAAACCTCTTCAGCGCATCCATTTGCGACTGGCAAAGGATTTCCCCAAAGCGTAATGGTTTCCTGACATTCGATGTTCTCAGGCGAGCTTTTCTCGGGCCAAGGAAAGTCACAATCAAAACCTGGGTAGATGAAGGTTAGTAAGGCATATACAATCCCCTTGCCAGAAATAGGTGCGGTGCCTTTCTCATTCTTTACATGCATTTGGGGATCGACCATTTTACAACCCTCCCTCCCGCTAACATGGCACCTGACAGGCGGGACCCTCCAAGAAAAAAATGACCTCCCAAGTAGCTCTCCACAGGTGCTGGTGCTAGTGGAAGGAATCGCACGATATGGCCATGGGTGAACCTCCAAATCTCCACTAAAATAGGTTCTAAAATGGCAAAGGGCACCTACCAAAATGGGATCCCAATACGGTTTTGACACCCACAGCCATATGTTGATTGCGCAGGAGTGGATCAATCTCTTCTTGGTGCTCCGGCAGAGCCTGGACAAAAGTGGCGCGAGCTTCCCGAGCTGGGAGCTCCTAAAAGAGGCGGCGGCCGTGGCCGAGGGTGTGCAGCTCATTACCAGTGAGTCGTGCTATACAGGACGGTTGCGGGGGTTGGGGGGGTTGGGGGGGTTGGGGGGGTTGGGGGGGTTGGGGGAGTTGGCGGGGTTGGGGGGGTTGGGGGGGTTGGGGGGGTTGGGGGGGTTGGGGGGGTTGGGGGGGGTTGGGGGGGTTGGGGGGGTTGGGGGGGTTGGGGGGGTTGGGGGGGTTGGGGGGGTTGGGGGGGGTCAGGACAGAGAGAACTGACTGATGGGTGTGGCAATCAAAATTTAAGCAGGGGCCGGCTCCGCAGGAATTTTGGTACCCATGTTTCCACTTACCGATCGGGCAAGCCATTTTGGAATTCCGGTTTTTTGAGCCACAGCCACAGCACCATCTGTTTTTCTTTCTGGGACACCTCACTCCACCAATACACATACGTGCGATCGGATTGGTTTTGTCCTGATCAGAAGTAGACTTGTCAGCCAAGAAGCGAATGATGTCAAACTGATTCAGACCATGTGGCCAGGTTCAAGATTTCAGTATTGCTTTCAACACTTAGGAAAAGCAAACAGATTTGGTTCTCTGCCCATGTCCAGGCCGCGCTCAGCGGCGCCTTCGGCTGAAGGGCGATCTAACCGCCCAGCAATTGCGGGAGATGCGCGAGCGCTGGCGCAGCATGCCGCAGGAGGGCTTTTTTTGTGTCTCCGGTATCTGGTACCTATTTTCAAGAAAGAAAATAACACAATTTGAGAGGCCTGGGGATCAATCCTTGCGAGCTGAGGACTTGTTGCAAATCGCTTTGGTCTTGAAAGATCCCGAAGCTCCAGAAACGTCCGAAGCCCAAACTCTGGAGGAGCAGGCACAGCTGTTCTTGCACCTTGGCGGTCCTGAAAGCTTCATGTTCCTAGTGCGACTTGGGCAAAGATGAGTTTTTTTTTACTTTTTAATTGATTAATTTCTTTTTTCCTTTTTCGGATATGGTTTGCTTGAAGCCAAAACCGTAAAAGCCTTGATTGACCCGTCAGGCGAGTCGCCGCGTCCTACTGCCGCCTGGACTTGGCCGAGGAGGTCTCCGGCACCTGGCAGCTCCTCGCCGAGCGGTTCGGAGGGACCATCCCGTGGCAGCCGCCGAACAACGAGAGCGACGAGAGCCGCGAGAGCCGGCTGGAGGCGTTGCTGGAGTCCTTCAAAGGTGCTGAGCGCAAGCGGAAGAGGAATGCGCAGGGGTTGAATTAGATGGGGTGGTTGCCGAATTAGAAAGCACACGTGAGCTCACGTTCGTTTGGAAGTCTGGGGGATTTCTGAGGTCAAAGGTGCTAGAGCTTGACAATGTGTTGTTGACTGATTTTGGGACGGCTGGGCTCATCACAGACTTCCAGTTGGGGGAAACCTTTTGGCACGTTGAAATCGTGCCCAGCTGGCATCTTTGTGGTCATTTGATGCACAGCTTTCTCGGACAGCTGATGTAAAGCATCATGGGGTCGTCCGGTGCGGAATGGGGGACGTGTGCAGCGGGAGCAAAAGCAACGCGCCTTTTCCATCTTAAAAGAAATCTGGAGGTGCACTTGTCAGGGAGTCAGCTCCTGGCAACCATGCTGTGCTTGCTTGCCCTTGTCCTTGGCTGAGATGTGACTCAGAGGCTATGCTCCACTGCCACGTGCAACCTGACGGGTCTGGTTGTCATTTGGCAAGCAGGGTTAGTCGTGATCGAACACGCACTTCAACCTGAATGCAAGTTGACGGATGTGCTAATCATCTAGCAAGTAGGGCTGTTGGTGACCGAAAACACACTTGCACGTTAATGCAAGTTGACGGGGTTTGTGGCCTGAGTCCCTCAGAGAATTAGGGTACATTTCTTCGCGAGCGGAGGCATTACATTGAATTGGCCATTGCATATGGCTGTGGGTCAAAACCAACGGTACCATTTTGGGGTAGGTGCACCACCCATGTTAGAACCTATTTTAGTGGTTGGATTGGGATGTTTATTGGGGGTACGATTTGGATTTTGACACATGGCCATATGTCCACCCTGATCCGTGTTGGCGCACAGCAGAGCTGCGGCCTGGACACCGGCGACTGTCGCCGCTCAGCCAAGTGGCACAGGGGGGGGAGTCCGTTTGGCAGAAACCTGCCGGACAAATACACCGCGGCTATCGACGCAGGCAGGGTCTCGCTCTTGGCGGGCACGATTCTAGGTCCCCCAGTAGTGCCCTTTTACCTTTTTTTGTTGGGACGGTTCCCCTTCTAAAATGGACTACAGAAAAAGGGTCCCCTTATTCTAACCTTTCTACTGGAGGACCTAGAATTTTAATTGCAGAAGTTCGATCAAACTAGGGAGACTTCCGCCAGTGGGCAGTCGCAGCCCCACAACCGAAGGACGTTGTCGTCTTTCCGATGGCGGACGCGCGGCTGTCATGGCTCCAGTCGACTGTCCAAGCCGTGCTGCCAGTAGAGGCGGGTGGCATGCCGTTGACTCTTGCGAAAGATAATTGGCAGTGGATCGAATATAGGTGCTCAAAATGAAACCCTGGTGAATGGAACTAAGGACTAAAATCTGCGGTCCCCTGGTGGTTTAATTTTGACCCATACCCAATTGATGCTTTCAGGGCGAAAAGTGGACACAGCTGCTGGCGGAAGAGCAGGCCAAGAAGGACTATGAGTTTCGGGGCGCTCAAGGTCATTTTTCCATTGACTTTGCTGCCGATGCCCTGACACAGCTTCAGACCATCATCGCAGAACATGAAAAGTGAATGCCTGTTGTCCTGGTTCTTTACACACACACACACTTATGTGACAGATGAAGGTTGTAGGTTGATACTGATATTTTCCAAGCAACAAAGCCGGTTGTTCTCTGGCACGCTTTGCTGCCATGGTTTGCCTAAGCCATGCCACTTGGCAAAGCGGCACAGCGCTTCGGAGCGTTACTAAGCTGCAACTGAAAGGCCGGTCCAAAACATGTGCGCTGTGATAGAAATACATCGCTGCTTGGCCAATACAAGATGGTTAAACCAGCCATTCACCAGGTTTCCAACAAATGCCAAACTTGAGCCCAAGCAGATTCAAAGAGGTTTGATCATTGCACTTTGCTCTGAAGTTTGGTGAGGCTTCTCCTGCTGGAGGCAGGTGTTCGAGTGTTTCGGCTTCGAGCCTTTGGTGCGGTCCAGGTGAGCCACAATCGAAGCCCTCGTAGATGAAGGTTAATCCCAACCATAGCTGCGGCCGGTTTCCTATTTCTTTACATGGATTCTGGGGATCGAGCATTTTCGTATGGAGTTTTGATGAGTCAGGCGTCTCTTGCGGCCCAGATCGGCGTGGCGCCGGAGGTGCGGCTGGTCTTAGCTTTCAGCGAGCGAGCGAGTGAGCGAGTGAGCTGAGCGGCCGCAGGACCAGGAGAACTACGCCTGTCATGGTGACCCCTGCACCTTCAGATGCCTGTCCGGGCAAAAGGCCGGCCAAGGGTTGAGCAAGACAGGCGATGGCCGTGAATTCACAGGGCACGCAAAGAAGCAAGATGTGCTTGGATGAAGGACACATTGCCGCTGAGCGCCATCAACGACGACTTTTGCCACTTGAATCTGGTTGCCAGAGAATTAGACGCCGCCAAATTCATTGTGGGATGCTGAACAGAAACTCCTTGCAAGCGCGTGGCAGTTCAAACTTCTGGACATACCAAGGTGACTGCGAAGTGCCTCGACTGACCTCTCCAACACCTTTTTGCCAGTTTTGGTTTGTTGGTTGGCGGATGCTGCGCTTCAGGCTTCAGACCATGCTCCTAAAGTAAGGATGGCAGCGATGAGCCTGGCACAGCTGCTTGTGCTGGCCGCGGCCAAGAGACGTTGTTTTACTGCCCGAATGCCGAAGGCATACCCAGGCTGATATATACCTCTCGAGACTTATTTGCAATTTTGGAGTGACTTGAGCAAAGGTTTGCGCAAGACAGGCTGCTGACCTTGTGAACATGGCCAAATGTGACCAAGGTGTGAGGGATGGTATATGCGACTGCTGTGATGGGAGCGATGAGTTGGCTGGTGATACCACGCCGTGCAGCACTTTGACCACTTTGGTGCTGACAAACTACGCTTGATGAAGTCTTTTCACTGTCCACTAAATATGCTGGATCAATGCTTGCAAACTGGACCTCTTACCATTGTGCCAGGTCAAGTAACGCCATGCTGGCTTGATAGAGTTGATCGCCAAGGCAACACTTGCAGTGACGAGGGAGCCGAGCGCGAAAGCTACTCGGAGCACAGGAATGGAACCGCATGGTGTCTTTTGCGGGGAGCAAACGCTCTGATGGAAGTGCTCTTGGAGTGGTGTGGTATGCGTGGTCTCTTTTTTGGTGTGGGACTCTCTCTGACTTGCAGCTCGTCTTTACTCTGCCGCAATATTTTTAGTCTAAAGGTTGCCTTTAGTTTTCGCTTCGGCTGTCCGACAGGGAATGTTCCATGAGTCCAACCCCCCACTATGAGCCCCCCTCCCAACTGTCCTCGACCTCAGGCATTTGGCTGTGGTTGTCAAAAATGGGTACCCTAATGGCTTGCCCTGGAAAATGGAAGATATGGACCAAATCCTGCGGTCCAATTCCTGGTGGTTTCATTTTGACCCATACCCATTTCCTAGCTTTGCGCTCCTAATCGCCCTCTGCTAGGAACTCTGGAGCGCTTCCGGAGAGGTCTCGAGAAGCACAAGGAGGGCAGGCGAGATGCGAAGAACTCGCGGCAGCGCTGGCGAGAAGAGGCGCGCGCAGCACAACCTGAGCCACGTGCTCAAAATCGATTCGGGTAGATGAAAGTTAGTAAGGGACAATCCCCTTGCCATAAAAGGATTTGCGGATATCCCGCCTTCTTAAGTCTTTACATGGTTCTGGGTAGACCATGTTAATACTGATCGGTTTTGATTGTGACTCACCTGGCAGTTGGCCAAGGGAACCGAATAAACTAGCCGTGCCGATGAGGTGGAAAGCCTGAAGCAGCAACATGCCAAGCTGTTGAAGGAGGCGGCACAATTCTGGCATGTCAGGGCCAAATCAGCGATGTGCTTGGTTTCCTTTGGATTTTGTTGGTTGAAGACACATGAAGTGGCTAAGTAGGCCTTGGGCTGTCAATTTTTCCACCTTTCAAATGGGTTGCAGCAGGACGGGCAGCAGACGCTGAGACAAGGCGCCATGGCTGACCTGCAAAGGATGAAGGACGAGATCGAGGCTTTAAAGGCGGGGTGGTGAGCACGGCATGTCAAAGACCTGACACTTTTCCGAGGTTCCAAGGCACAAAAAAAGCGATTCGGGTAGATGAAGGTTGGTAAGGGACAATCCCCTTGCCAGAAAAGGATTTGCGGCTATCCGCCTTCTCAATTCTTGAAGCATGGTTCTGGGTAGACCATTCTAGTACTGATCGGTTTTGATTCCGGGTTTTGATTGTGACTCGCCTGGTTTAGTCGGGGTGAGGACTCTTTTTGACTAGCTAGACTTAAACCCAGGGATCGGTTCTCCTTTTGGGGAAACTTGAAGAGCATTGCTTAGCAGCGGTTTAGTGAGGCTCTAAATATAATCTTTATCACTATGTTGCTAGAACAAAACATCAATGGCGATGCTCAGGTGAACTGTAAATAGCCGGGGGAGGGACGAGTGGCAGAAGCGCTGCAGGAGCAAATCAGGGTGCTTCAAGCGCGCCGGCTACTCAGACCCTTTGGGGATGAAAGTTTGTGAATGAAGCACAGCACAGCCGTGTTGCTTTTGGACATCTTCATAGGCCAAGATGGCATGGAGAACCAAGTCACCAGCTCCGCTTCGGGCCGTGAAGCCAGCGAGGAAGCTTAGCTGAAGTGACCTTCAGGTGTGGCAAGTCTGACTGCTGGACGTGAGGAGAGCGCAGCTGTTGCAGCTAGTGCGGCTGATGTGCCGAAGACGCAGGTAGATGATGTGGCAAAGGCTCCCGAGGAAGCCTTGCCACACGTTTCTGAGTACGCGAAGCTTGGTGCAAACATGAGTTGAAAGCGGGCTCGATGAGTTGATACGCACAGGATCCATGGGCTGTGTGCGTCGCTCGTTGACTGCGTTGAAGTGATCAAACAGCAGGACGTAGCAGCCACGCGAAGCATGCCCCGAAGCAAACCTCCAAATCATATATTATATCCTAGATCATACCCACGACTGATACCGCTTTTCCAAGCGCAGCTCAACAATCGCAAGCCCACGTCAAGTTCGCTGCGAGGAAATGGATGGATAACTCGGAGGCCATGCTGGAGACTACGCCAAGCACCAGCCAAGCCATTGAGGCCGTAAAGAATTGGGTATGGGTCAAGATGAAACCACCAGGAATTGGACCGCAGGCTTTGGTCCACATTTTTCATTTACCAGGGCAAGCCATCAGCGTACCCATGTGGTTGACAGCCAATTCACGCACCGAGAAAGAGCAGACGGCCCTGCGCGCACCAGGAGACGGAGGTGAAGCAAGCTGGATCTGAGCCCTCGACGAATCAGACGGTGCCTTGACTCGAAGAAACGACCCTGGGCGCATGCCGAGCTTCGCGTGACCTGGCCGTGTTTTCAAAAATGGGTAGCCGAAATGGCCCGCGCCCTGGTAAATGGAATCAAGGACTAAAACCTGTGGTCCAATGCCTGGTGGCTTAATTTTGACCCATTCCACATGTCTGATTCTGTTGGACTCTGTCCAGGACAAACAGAAGCTTGACAAGACCAAGTCCCGGATCAAGGAGTTGGAAGACAAGCTTGGCTTCTTGCCGGAAGACAAGCTTGCGTATTTTCCCTTACTGGACACCTGCTTGGAGAGCGACAAGTTCAATGGCCACACCTACTCGATTTGCTTCTTCAGGAGTGCTAAGTTCTTGGCTTGCGCATTTGGTCAAATTTGGCTGTGGGTCAATACCGTTTTGGGATCCCATTTTGGGGTAGGTGAATTCACCACCCATTTTAGGACCAATTTTAGTGGTTGGATTGGGATGTTCACTGGGGGTACGATTTGGGTTTTGACCCATGGCGATCTCTTTGCGGAGGAGTGCGCACCAGTCTGGGGGCACACAGGGCAACGTCTCCCTGGGAAGCTTCGCAGGGTGGAAAGGCCAGCGGCAGATCGAGTTCAAGGGAGGCAAGAGCTGCGGCAGCGCGCAGCGACAATTGACGGTGAAGTTCAGGCGACCGCGCGCGCGCGCGCGCGCCGAAGTTTTCCATTTTTTCATGGCTTTCGATCACCCAGCTGCCGTTCTTTATGACCGTTTCGTGGCTTCATGCTCGTCTTCTGTCGCTGGCTTCTTGTGAGTCACCATCCTGTGTGGCCTTGTGTAGTTCCATACCATCTTGTGTGTTGCTGCATGTGACCCAGGGCAGTGGTGGCTGTTGGCCACAATGCCAGTGCCGGTGTTTCTTCCGGTTCACCACCTTGGCAGTCTGTTCAAAAATTTCACCATGATCAAAGTCAGTGGATTAGCTAAAGGACACAGCCCCATTTTCTGACATTGATAACCCCCAGAAACAGTGAACAGCCATGTTTATATACTTTTTCTTCTTCTTCTTCTTTTCTTCTTATTTTTTCCATCTTTTTTCTTCTTATTTTTTCCTCTGTGTTTTCTCGCGTTTGTCAGCGCCGAGTTGCGGCCTCAGGTGTTCTGAGGAGGTGAAGATCGTGGAGGTCTCCGAGCCTGGGCACTGCAGCTACGAGGCGGTGGTGCAGTCCGCTGGCGCCTGCGGAAAGAAGATCCGCTGCTCGAAAGAATGGCCACGGTTCAAAACCAATCCGATCGCACGTATGTCTATTGGTGGAGTGAGGTGTCCCAGAAAGAAAAGATGGTGCTGTGGCTGTGGCTCACAAGACCGGAATTCCAAGATGGGTTGCCCGATCGGGGAAGCATGGGTACCAACACCTGCGGTTTGCCCCTCCGATCGTTTAATTTTGAGCCACACTCAAATGGCCATGGCTCAATACCGTTTTGGGATCCTATTTTGGGATAGGAAAGTACCTATATGGCATTCGATCAATTTTTTGGCTGGCTATGGCTAGCTATCACTAATAGGAAGCTCTATGCCAGTTTTTATGAGTAATTATCGTGCATTTCTGGCAGTCTCCAGATCAACCTTCATCGGGTGTGACCATTTTAGTCGGGATTTCAGTGGGGATTGGGATACCCGTTCAAAGCCACTTCAAGCTCTGCCAAAGCGTTTCAACGCACGCTGTATGAATTCGAAGCACTCGATCATAGTTTACCAGTGAGGTGAAGAGGTTCAGCGATCGTTTCCATCAGTACGACGTCCCAAAGATGAGCTGTGACTCAACACGGCTAGGCGCATGGATGTCTTTGCGAGAAAAAGCGGCCCTTTCAGCACATGCGCCATCCGAACTGAATGCAAAGGACTCGCAAGGGTAAGACTTGCGGACACGCAAGGTCCGTGAATTCTAGCAGGGAACCCAGCTAAATGATGTCCACCAGTGGATCCCTTAAATTTCATGGCCACATATGTCGGCTTTTGGCCTAGGACAATGGATCCCTTGTTCAATTTCATGGCCACATGTCCATGTCGGCTGTTGGCCACATGTCCAGGAAGCCAACTTGGTGGTTTGAAAGGGTCTGAGCCTTTCCAGGACTTGGCGTACTTCCTGGATGCCGCGCCGGGGACTTTCGGAGACGCTCGGGGGCGACTCGGGACGTGCGAGACGTGCGGATGCGCGGATCCGATGTGAGGCCTGAGAACACCACGGCCATGTTCTACCTCAGAATAGCCCAAGCCTCGCCAGGGCTGTGGGGAATGGAATCCACGAATCTGTGATACAACAGAAAGGGCAAAGACTATTTTCTTCATATAAAGGGGGATTCCCTTGTATCACAGAAGTGGAGCGAAACCCCTTGATCCCACAACCCTGCTCGGGGCAAGTTGTCTGCTTTGCTTGCCAACATGTGCAAGGTTTCAGAGATGAGCAGCAAGGATGGCGGTCAAGAAGGACGGAGCTTGCTTGCCAACCGTGCTTGGTGCGTCCGTCTTTCTCCTATTGTCTGTGTGCACATGATCCGGTGTCAACGACACTGACACTACACCTTCCATGCTGCTCGTGCTCCAGACTGCGTGAGTTGCTCTGCGCAAACATGGATATCATGTGGCCACAAGTATGCTGAAGCGAAGGGTGATCGTTCACTCCGACATCAAGAACTCACGCTGAGAAACGCTTTTTTACATTTGGAAGCTAACTTTAAATTCAGATTATCTTCGGAGATGAAGCACAGGTGAAAAGACCATCTCTTGGCCACGTAGCTGAGTCGTGACAGTTGCACAGGAGAGGAGGAAGAGAGCCCGGAAGGTGCATTGACGCACATTGTGCACGTGCACAAATTGGCCATGTGGGTACTGTCATGACATCAGTTTGCCAGGTGAGACTGTAGATATACCCTTTGAGGAGCCCACCGCGGGAATCTCAGCACAGAGCGACCTGGGTTTTGTTGCATGGGTCTATTGTGACCAAAGTCTGTTCTGGTTCCGCCCTCCCAGCTACCAGCAACTAGGAGCTGGCTGTAGCAAAACAACCATAGGTGTCCTTTTTGGTTGATTTGGTTTAAAAATAGAGGGCGAGTCCTGGTAAACCCTGGTGGTTCAATCAACTACCAGGGCCATCTATTTCCCAAAAAGGACACCTATGAAAACAACGGCTGCTGTTCTTCATTTGAGCCGGGGTCAGGAAGAGGGCGAAGGTGCATCGGAGGAGGTGCGCACTTTGCCCCTTTGCCAGCTCCGGGATGCCAGGGCTTGGACATAACTTGCGCCACAATCAAAACCCGGGCAGGTGAAGGTTAGCAAGGGGCAGCCTAGCCAGAAATGGGTGCGGATATCCGCTTTTTTAATTCTTTACATGGTTCTGGGTGGACCATTTTAATATCGGGTTTTGATTGCAGCTTCGCCGCGAAGACGTTCGCAAGCTGATCAGCACACGGTCTTGGGCGGAATGCGGCAAGCGCTTTGTGCAGGTGAAAGCAGAGTCTCGGCAGACGAGTTACTCGCACGCGTCTCAGATGGACAACTTGCGCCAGAATCCTTGGCATGATCCTGGCATAGGCGCTCCAAGACTCTGAATCGAGATTGCACCCAGATGCTCTCACGTTGCATACTCAGACGCATCGCCTTCCGTCATGGGCCAACGGGCATTTGAAGCGACAAGGTGAAGTCTTGACGGTCACGGCGGCTTCCTCAGAATGGTGATTGGTGGCAGCTGCATTCAAATCTGCGGATGGGAGCGACTCAGGTTGGCTCCTTGATTGAAGGCTCCCTGGATAGAATGTGCATCTACTTCATGAAGCATGTTAGTGGGCCCCTAGCTCAGACCATTTGGTCCGGGCATTGGCACATAAAGGCACGTCTGCCAGGCCTTGCAATCCAGCCACCATCCAGCGAGAAGTCACCTTTGGCACTGTGGAAGGCCATGTGAAATGTGTGTTGAGTGGATTTGCCGAATTCGCCAGCTCTCCCCATGCGTCATTTCAGAGGAGAATCACGCCACTCCGCATATGTGTCAGTGAAGCAAAAGCACATGCCACAGCTGAGCCGAGCGTACGTGGCTGGAGCCCCGCTCCATCCCGTGAGGTCCCTCCGCACCAAGAGGGCATTGGGCCCTAAATCCTCTAGTTTGCCTGATTGTGATCCAAGTGGCCCTCGACACCCCACCCTTCTTGACGGGTAGATCGATCCGATCGATCGGGCGATCCGGGCATCCGTTGGAGGCACCTTCCTCAGAGATCTTGAGCTCATGATGCGGGAGATCTACATCCCAGCACTCAGCAAAGGACCAGCATTCCATGGACCCCACAGCACTGAAGTGCTAGCAGCTGCAGGATGAACATGGCTATGAATTTTGAGGGGGAACCCCCCTGAAAGGTGGTTGGTGGACAGAAATCCCCACCTAAATGATGTCCACCAAAGGGTCCCGAAGTAAAATTCACACCCAAACACACGGCTAGTTCACCACCAACGCGTATGGATCAGCACCTTGGTGTTTCATTCGCCAGGAACCAGCAGGGCGAAAGCGGGAGAGCGCCGGAGAGGCTCCGAGTCAGAGGCGGCCATGTAATTCTGTGGTGGTCAAAAATACTGTGGATGGTTGCGAAATCCTCTTAGGCACCACCTAATGAGTCGTTGCGCTCTATCGCCGCTGTTTTGTGTGCAGTAGACTTTTGCGTACTCCCCTGGGCCATGTCGCTGCCATATTTGGCCGTGGGTCAACACCAATGGTGCCATTTTTTTGGGGGTCAACACCAATGGTACCATATTATTTATTTATTTTTTTGGGGGGGTTCGGTGCACCGCCCATTTTAGAGCCAGTTTTAGTGGTTGGATTGGGATGTTCACTGGGGAACAACCGGCCTTTTGACCCATAACCATTTTTGCAGCGAACTGGGTGCAGGCAGAAGACGAAGAGCCCGCGCCTGGGGAGCAAGGGCTCTGTCGAGTCTGCAAATCCTACCGAGGGCGGAGGCGGCCGCAGAGGGTCCCATTCTCAGTGCCGGACAGGGCGAAGCCAGCAACACGCGAGCGATAGCCAAAACCCAGGCAGATGAAGGTTAGCAAGGGACAAGCCCAACCATCAACGGGGTGCCTTCGCCGCCTTGTTAATTCTTTACATGGTTTTGGGGATCGACCATTTTGATACCCATGGGTTTTGGTTTTGACTCACTTTAGGTAGCAGTTGTAGGTTGAATGGTTGCAGACACGCCCCAGGCCGCCGGAGGGGAAAGTATCTGCAGCATGGACATGATCTTGTAGTGCTGCCGAGGTTCTGAGCTGGACGAGGGAGGCCGAGGCAATGAGCCAGCTGGTGATGAGGAGACCCCAGCCGTGTGAAGGTTTGTCAAAAGTAGGGGCAATGTTTTGGTTTCCGCTTTAAAAGGCAGCACACGGCGGCACCAGGTCCCAAACACGGTCCATATATTTGCCACCCCCCGCCCCGCCTGTCGTGATACTTAGGATTTTGAGGATGTGAATGCTTTGCCCCAATCTCGCCCGTACGTGGCAGGAGGCACCAGAGAAGTCGCCAGAAGAGCAGGTTGAGGACCGACAGCTGCTGTGAGGTACATTGACGCATTGAGCGGCTGCGGTGCCCAGCGGAAGCATGTTCTTGCTTGACTGGTTTCTTGATTGCTTTTGGGTTGGATCTTTAGACTTTAACTTTTTGGAACATAAAGGTGTTTTCCAAAAAGTTAACAACTTCATGCAGGGGGGTCAACAGCAACCAAGGCTTTAGGCTAGTGGGTGGCTGAAGGGGCGTGAAGTGGTTGGTCGGTAGCTTCGTTGGTCGGCTGCAGCCACAGGAGATAGTAGCTGCCACTGCAGCTGTGCGCACCCCAGCTTGACCTTGACAGCTGAAACAGGGTGGAACGGTGGGAGGAGTTTTTGCTTCATAGTCCCAAGCTACCCATTTCTATAAGCCATATATACATATTAGTACGTATATATATATATATATATATATATACGCAACGCCCCCCCTGGTGCCTAGGTTTTGCTTGATTTCAGCGCGCAGGCTGTAGAGTTTAGATTTTTTGCAATAGACTTTAAGCACAAACAAATGGGCTTGCAGTCCGTCATGGCAAGATCCGAAATGTCCCAATATGATACCCTTTCCAAATTGGATTTTACTTCAACTAGAATTGGAATTTTGAACATACTTTGGTTGGGATATAGTTTTCAAAAATGTGTTTATGCTCAACATT